CTCTTCAAAGAACTCCATCTTTATTTTTACTTGATGGTTCTGGTCTGTTCTGGTTCAAATTAATCCCTGCATCCACTTTAAGTATTATTTGCATGGGCCTCTTCATTACGTAGACAAAGAATCCAGTCTGCCTTCACCACCACCTTTTTCTTCATATTCTGGCTGGAATGAAAATATCTTTCCACTTCCTGTTGTAAAATTCTTCTTTCCACAGCTGGAGGATGGAATTTGCTCAGAAGGATAGCTGTAAATTTATGCAGCAGTATTTTGACCAGTTCTAGTTTTAGCAACATTGGAGAAGCCCAGAGGTCACATTTTGTCCCTTCTGACAAAAAGGGCATTTGATCAAAGATGAAGCGAATTTGTGAGGAGGGATCAGTAGTTTTGGCTATTGGTCTGTCTTAAAATAGGGCAAATTCAGGAGAGTAACTCAGTGGCTGAGCATATACTTTGCACACAAAGATCCCTGACATCTTGAGCTCAGAGGATCTCAGGTAGTTGGTCTTGGAAAGGCCACCATCTGAGACTCAGTACATCAAGTACCTGTCATAGAATCATAGAGTTGGAAGAGACCACAAGCGCCATCGAGTCCAACCCCCTGCCAAGCAGGAAACACCATCAGAGCACTCCTGACATATGGTTGTCAAGCCTCTGCTTAAAGACCTCCAAAGAAGGAGGCTCCACCACACTCCTTGGCAGCAAATTCCACTGTCGAACAGCTCTTACTGTCAGGAAGTTCTTCCTAATGTTTAGGTGGAATCTTCTTTCTTGTAGTTTGGATCCATTGCTCCGTGTCCGCTTCTCTGGAGCAGCAGAAAACAACCTTTCTCCCTCCTCTATGTGACATCCTTTTATATATTTGAACATGGCTATCATATGTTAACCTCCTCTTCTCCAGGCTAAACATGCCTAGCTCCCTTAGCCGTTCCTCATAAGGCATCGTTTCCAGGCCTTTGACCATTTTGGCAGCTAAAAAAGCCAATGCAATTCTGGGCCTCATCAATGGGAGTATAGCATCTAGATCAAGGGAAGTAATAGTGCCACTGTATTCTGCTCTGGTCAGACCTCACCTGGAGTACTGTGTCCAGTTCTGGGCACCACAGTTCAAGAAGGACACTGACAAACTGGAACGTGCCCAGAGGAGGGCAACCAAAATGGTCAAAGGCCTGGAAACGATGCCTTATGAGGAACGGCTAAGGGAGCTAGGCATGTTTAGCCTGGAGAAGAGGAGGTTAAGGGGTGATATGATAGCCATGTTCAAATATATAAAAGGATGTCACATAGAGGAGGGAGAAAGGTTGTTTTCTGCTGCTCCAGAGAAGCGGACACGGAGCAATGGATCCAAACTACAAGAAAGAAGATTCCACCTAAACATTAGGAAGAACTTCCTGACAGTAAGAGCTGTTCGACAGTGGAATTTGCTGCCAAGGAGTGTGGTGGAGTCTCCTTCTTTGGAGGTCTTTAAGCAGAGGCTTGACAACCATATGTCAGGAGTGCTCTGATGGTGTTTCCTGCTTGGCAGGGGGTTGGACTCGATGGCGCTTGTGGTCTCTTCCAACTCTATGATTCTATGATTCTATGTCCATTTCCATCTACCTCTTTTACAATATTTCTATTGAAGGAAAAAAATGATGTGGAAGTTGTGAAAAGGAATTAATAACTAAGTTCAAATAAAAGATTCATGCTATCCTCAGAAGGTTAGTTCTGAAACATTGTATGGGTATTGAAAATGATTTTGCGTGTGTGTGGAGCATATAAGGCTGGAACATGTAATGACAAAGTAACACTATGCCAGAGCAATCCTGGACTTCAGTTACATTTGCTTGCTGAGACAATACTGCCCCCCCCTTGCTGTTTACAATGCTGTTGTGGAAATAATTACAGGCTTGTGGGAATAACGATACTATTGCAATGGTGGGGCTCAAACCCTTATATAGAAATAAGGTAAAAAAGGTAAGGTAAAGGACTTCTGGGGTGTGGCGCTCATCTCGCTTTTAGGCCGAGGGAGCTGACGTTTGTCCACAGACAGCTTTCCGGATCATGCGGCCAGCATGGAATAGCCCTTATACAGAACAGATAGCAGCCAGGGATGGCTTTGGGCACTGTGAGCAGAGCACTGGGGGCGCTGCCAGGGAGCTTTAAGGAGGAGGTAGCAGGACTTTAGGGCCCTGCTTTGGAGCTCATTCACTACTTACAAAGATTCAATCATAGCTATCTCCAAACCCAAATAAATACACCATGATATTTAAAAACTGAGGCTATTAAGAAACTACAATTTTTTAAAAGCATAATATGCCACTTATATATAGGCCATTATGGATAGAGTATAGTTAGGTGTTAGGGAATATTTTAAAATATACTTATTCCATCTAGATTCATGTGTACATGTTAAATCACAGAAATAATTAAAAATCCATTTTATGAGTACGTTGCTTCTATGTGCAAAAATTAGTAATTGTACTAATTACCCAAATTAGTTTTTAAAAACAAAATAAAACAAGTTTCCCTCTGTAAAAATAGTTGGGAATGTATTGTATGAACTTTCATCCTCACTAGCACAGCTGATCCAAGCACAATTTTGGTCTTTCGTGATTTCCTGCCTTCCCAAATAGACAATTCTTAAAATTAATTCAGCCGCTGATGAAATCTAGGCTTGCTCTGGCTCCTTGAGGAATTAATAGTGGGAACTGCTTCCCATGGATTTCAATACATAGCCATTAAAAGATCAAATGCATTTGAAGAGCTCCCATCTCACTCAACAAGCTTATCCTTTCAGTAGGGTTCTACTAAAGTGCTAGTAATTATAGGGTATTCGCGGACCACGTAAGAGTCAGGTAATTAAGTGATTCTTCCTCAAGTGAAATCTGGTGATTCAAAATTTCTGGTCTCCCACTAATCACTGCCTGTGCCTTTGGGTGACTTCAGATGTAATTACCACTTTGTAATCTGCAGAACATGCAATTTCTGAGCATTTATTATATGGCGCTTTTCACATAACTGTAGACCAGGGTTCGGTAATAGAGGTCTTGTTAAAAACAAGAGACTCTAAATACCTATTCTCATGTATAACTATTCTCCAGCAAGCAAGAAGTCCATGTATTGTTTAATGCAGCAAGGCTACTAACATTGCAGTCCTAGACATGTCCAGACAGAAGTAAACCCCATTAAGTTCAAGGGCACTTATTCCAGGTAATTATATAGGACTTCAGCCTTAACGGGCTTGTGAACAGCTTTTCGTCTAGCTGCATCTGCTGCTTATATGGAGAGCTTGTCATAGCACTGCTCAGAGAACAAAAACCAACCTGATTGATTTAAAAAACTTAACTGTGTCCATATAAATCTTTAACTATTAAAAGCAGTCAAACTGCTAGATTTAGGTTGCATTTAATCAATCAAAGGCCCATGTGGGTTTATTTCCTTTCCCTGTATTCCATGTCATACTTTGATCACTTGTAATGAAATCCACATGGTTAAAAAATGCTCCTATCTCACTTTAAATTGTTCTTTAGTCACTGAATTCCTTCCCGTTTAGTTTCTGTGTTCTGGTTTTCTTCCACGGTGTATAATTGAGAAAAAAGTTGCATTTTGGTAGGGATGGGGGGACAAATGAGATTCAGTTAGCATTTAAAGGCGAACCTATCTATATAGTTCTCACTTTCCAAAACACCACACAAATGAAAACACAGCCAGCCTTGAAAATTCACACATCTCTGATTTTGCAATGCAGTTCTCTAGCCAGGAGATGTTTACAAAAATGCAGGGTAAACTGTGCATAGAAATGAATGTGTTAGTGAAAAAGCACACCAAAAATGCAAGTTGTATGGGGAAACTGCTTTGCCAAAATGTGTATATTAAGCAAAAGTGCATATAAAAATGTGTATAAGAAGAGAAATTAATGTCAGAATTCTGATGAATTTTCAGGAGGATGTATTTTACAAAATTTTCAAACTGATGTGGAAACGTAGGGAAGTGGAAAAACAAGAAATAGAGAATCCAAAACTGTCATATTCAGCCACCTCTACTTTTTGGTAAACCTAAATTGCAGGAGTTTATCACACACTATCATAGATAATGACCAAAGGGTTGCCTCCATGCTAGTGCCCTTTTCGTGTTACTTTTCTATGGACGTTCCACACCTGTGGGATGAAGGGGGGATATAAATTTAATAAATAATATATATAATGTATATTCACAAGAAAGAGTCATGAAAGCAAATGTTCTTTTCAATGTTGATTAAAGTTTCTTGCTAGCATGCTTTGCTCAATGGAATATCTTCATTGGCTCCCAGTACGTTACCAAGCACAACTCAAAGTGTTGGTGCTAACCTTTAAAGCCGTAAATGGCCTTGGACTAGTATACGTGAAGGAGCATCTCCACCCCCATCGTCCAGCCTGGAAACTGAGGTCCAGCGCCAAGGGCCTTCTGGCGGTTCCCTCACCATGAGAAGTGAGGTTACAGGGAACCAGGCAGAGGGCCTTCTTGGTGGTGACACCTGACCTGTGGAACACCCTCCCATCAGATGTCAAGGAAATAAACAACTATCTGACTTTTAGAAGACATCTGAAGGCAGCCTTGTTTAGGGAAGTTTTTAACGTTTCATGTTTTATCATGTTTTAATATTCTGTTGGAAACTGCCCAGAGTGGCTGGGGAGGCCCGGCCAGATGGGTGGGGTATAAGTAATAAATTATCATCATCATCTTCATCATCTAATAAATTATCATCATCATCTTCATAGTTTTTTCCTGTTGAGTGTAGCAATAGGATTATAAATTTCCTCTGAACTGCTTTTCAATAGCCACATTAAACTGCATGACATCAATTTCTGATGAATTCTATGTTTGGATGAATGTAAAGACCACCTTCCTTCACTGAGACTTTAAGAAGTTGTAATCCTGGAAACATGGGGAGCTGTCTTAGTCAAATCAAACCACTGGTGTTACTAGCTCAGCATTGTCTACAGCGCTGACTGGCTGTAGCTCTTCAGGGTTTCTAAGACCACTTAGTATTCCGGGGATAGAACCTGGGACCTTCTGCCCGCAAAGGAGATGCTCTACCACTGAGCTACATCCCATAAAATACAATGGGACATGAACTTGGGTTTGCTTGTACTAAAGCCAGAAACAAGCTGATACTTACTTTCTTCCCATGGTACTAGATTAGTATTCAGCTGTAGAAGTAGGGATTTGCTTTTGTTATTTGTCCTTAATCTCCTTTGAGTAATGTTTAATGACTCATTGTACCTCTTTCCGAGTTTTTGAAAACAAAACCATTTTTCTGCTTCTCTGTGTTGAGAAGAAATGTACTTGTCTCCCCTTTCTGCATTTATTCTCCAACAAATAAAAAATAAAAATAAAACAAAATTTGTGGAAGATTGTCAGAACAGGTCTTAAATCATGTATTTGTCATCTCTATTCAGTGATTACACTTTGGCTCATGACTTCAGATCTATAAAAAAAAATTTTGGGAAGCAATGTGAGGGAATAATGCAGCCAGTTAAATCAGTTGGACTAGTAAGTATATTAGGACAAAATGGGTGTTACCACTGTAATCATAGGGGAGCTAAGATTGCGGCATGGCCATAGTGGGTGGGGCTTTTCCTCCTCCCAGCTGCAGCACAGTTGGAGGAGCTCCCACCATGGCCCAATGGAGAATGGCAACAGATAGGATCAAGGCAGTTGGACGCTGATACTCCTTGGCCTTTGGAACTTACATTTGTCCTCATAGGGTCCCAACATTTAGCGCCTTTTGTTGAATTCTTGCAAGTTTGGTTCAGAAAAAAGTTCAGACCTGCGGGCATGGCATCATGAACTGGGCAAGGCAACATGCTCGTATATCATGAAATAAGGCCAAAGATTTTCCATCCCTGATTTACAAGATGAGAAACAGCAAGTGTTCTCATGTAGTGCATCCCCCAAACCATTTCATTTAACGTTACCTTCAAAACAACACTGGAGAGAAACGTTGGTATTCGTTGGTATTATGATACCCATGTCACAGAGATAGTAGCTTGTCATTGCTTCTCAGCCTTTTGGCTAAGATCAAGCGATAGTAACTTATCTAGGACAGTCTTCTGAGAGCACGACTGAACAGAGATTTGAATCAGATTCTTCTCAACTCATGTTCTAAGCCAGTATATACCACACTCGGCTTCAAGATGCCATTTGATCCTTCTTCAGAAGTCTTGCAGAAGTAAGAGGCAGGAACATGTTGTTTAGAGCATCACATCAAGTGCTGTGTTGTTTTTTTGTTCTTCTCATGCACTTGGTGGTAAAGCACTCAGGACAAAAGAATGCAGTAAATAAATCTGGAAGGCACTGGCAATGTCACTACAGCAGAAAATGGAACAGCTGTATTCAAAATGAGACTTGTCACTACAGGATGTTTCAGACATCAATTTGTTTCTTTTCATTAGACTTTATCGGTCGGAATAAATTACAATGTTTGGCTTCCATACTCTTGGAAATCAAATTTATTCACAGATGCAGTGCCAAATCTAGAAATTAATATATAAATAATGACAACTCCTCAAAAACCGCAAAAATCAAAAGCAGGCCATGTCATGGTTTCTCTTCCAAAAAGAGGATTTTGAAGGCTAGAGTTATGGCACAGAGACGCTCCACCCTTGAAACTTTAAAAGTGATTGGACACTATTTATAACCCCCATCTTTGCAGAAAGCAAGAGTCAGGTTGAAAATGAAAAAAGAGTGTGGAAACTGGGGGGGGATCAATCCCATTGTGGCTAGCTTGCGTATGCCCTGTGAGAATGCATGATCATTTTACAGTCCATAAAAAAACAAAACAAAAAAGGTCCTTTAGGGATGATTACGGTATATCTGATGATCATGTCAGAAATAAAATGAAAAACATACTGGTTGGTTTAAATTTGTTCAAAAAGCAATTTGTGAAGTGTTTCTTATTCCTCACAGAATGATGACTTCAATGGGCCCTTCCCATGTGTCCAGGTGCATTTCTTCCCATCCTTTGTGAAGGAGAGTGATATTCACCCACAGCAGCTGACATATGGAGATACTGTATAAGTCTTGAGTACTAGAGGACCATGCCTAGAAAAACAAGCTACCCGAAAGTCACTGTGGGCAGAGAAAGTGCACAGGTGAAACCACTCTAATGCACAAGAGTGTCTGAGTAGTCATCACAGTAACCCCTCCAGTCAGGTCTTAAATTGTAGCAAGACATATTGGAGCTCAGCTCTGGAACACCACCGGGTCTGAACTGAATGTATTTCCATCACCGCTGAATAACAATAGCCAGCTTCCACACAGTAGAGGTGGGAGAACAGACTAAGCTGTATAGAAGGGACGAAGAGCCTATACCTCAGCAGATGTTGCTAGACAACACATCGCATCACCTCTGACCACTGTCCATGCCTGCTGGGGCCTATTGGAGTTTAAAACCATCTGGAAGACCACAAGCTCTCCGGTTTTTGACTGTAATTTCCAATAAGGCTTGATTACCAGGTACAGTGGTACCTCAGGTTACATACGCTTCAGGTTACAGACTCCGCTAACCCAGAAATATTACCTCAGGTTAAGAACTTTACTTCAAGATGAGAACAGAAATCGTGCTCCGGTGGCACGGCAGCAGCAGGAGGCCCCATTAGCTAAAGTGGTGCTTCAGGTTAAGAACAGTTTCAGGTTAAGAATGGACCTCCAGAATGAATTAAGTTCTTAACCCGAGGTACCAGTGTATACACATCTGACTAGCCGCACCTCTACCCCAAACTCCCTTCTTAACTGCATGCATAGCCGCTTGGCAAAATTTCTGATCTGTCACACAACTCACCTGATATATATTGCTCAGTAGTTCTCAAGGTTTTTTTGAGCCTTTGGTCAGTGGGGTGGATGGCACACCATTTACAGCAGATGGACTGTGATTGGTTTGATGGAGAACAATTATGCAGACCTGCCTTATGGTTCTGATGGTTTCTCAGGCCTGTAGATTATGAATTCATTCTTGACATTCCTGAGAGACAGGCTTGCAAGAGTGGAACCCTGTTCCTCCAGGCAGCAGGACTGCAATTCTGCGGTGCTCTATTGTCGAGTCCTTCTGTGTAGCTCTGCTGCTGACTACCACCAAGTATTTATTTTATGACAAGATAAAACAGGATTTCTTACTGCAACCTGTAGATTGGGATGTGCATGTTGGAGGGGGGGGGGACTTCTTATAAACTATGTAACACAGCAAAGTGAACAGTAAATTATCAAAGAAAGTGAGTGTGTGAGAGAGAAAAGAGGGAGCGAAACCTAACGACACAAGCAACTTTTCCATAAGGGGTCACTGCTGTGCAGCTGCTGGCAAACCCAGCCTCGTAAAAAAGGGAAGAACCTTTTGGAAATAGTGCCCAACTGTTCCCCCTGGATGGGATGTCACCATTCTGTCCTTGAATAACTTGCCACACTGTTCCAAGCCAGCCTACTCAAGGGCTTTGAATGAGACTGATTTATTTTTACAGGCCCATTTTACAGGGGCGAAGGGGATGGGGAGGAAGAAGGAAGCGTTCGGGAAAGCTTACGAAAAGAATAGTTGTTTACAGCAAAGAGCACCATGCTTTTTGTCTTATGTAACTTAGCATCCATAATTGGCAAGGACTATAGTTCTGGTACTCCCAGTCCCTCCTGAATTATTCATCAAGAGAATGCAGGCGGAATAACTTTATCTGTGACAAAGCAGTTGCTAAGCTTAACGTTTGGGAGATCAAATAATGCAAGCTTACTTATCCTTTTCTCCAGGGAGCTCTGCCACTCACATGTTGGGGGTAATGCATCTTAGCAAGATCCAGGCTTCTTTCTAGATGTTCGGCAAAGGAGTAAATGTGCGGGGGAAGGGATGATTTTTTTCATCTGAGCAACATATAAAAGTAGTGCTGGAAAGGTGTGGTAGACCTAAGGGCATTTAAAACATAAGTTGACCACCCGCCTCCCCAACCGAGGGAACATATTCAGAATGCTGGAGCTATTTTTCCAGGCACTCCTTGGAATCTTTCTCAGTTCTTGTCTTCTGAAATGTGGTATGAAGGACAGAAAACAAATGGAAATAGTTTGGAGTTTGTTTTGCAGAAAAGTTAGAAGGTTAGACAGCCGAGAGAAAGGTCTCTTCTGGATGACCTGTTTAATTAGTCATTCATTCTGATTAGTTTGCAATAAGTTATATGACATCCAATAGTCACTGAGAATTCATTCTGAGTTGTTTGCAGAGAGAATATACCAAGTTGCATCAATCGTTTCCCACACTTTCCAGTAGATCTTTCTGTCACTTTCCTTATCACAAAATGTCCAATCTCATTTTCGGAAGTGAGTTTGTTGTGCAAGACCCCAAATCCACTTTAATTGCACAACCTGAATTTGCTGGCATGCAACTGAATCTCACTCACAAAATAGTGGCAATCTGGAAACATCTAGGGAGAGAGGGAGAGATGGAAGGAGGGGGGGGGGAGGAAATAGTTGGTTGCAAGGGGAAGAATCTTTGGGTAAAAGATGGTTCCCTGGGAATTTTATTCAGGATTAGTGGATTTGCTGCCTTCTCTATGAGTGTCTATTTGTTTCCAAAATGCTCTGCTAGTATATTTGGAAATGGCATTTAAAAGCCTCCATAAATATCCAGTTTTCTTTCATCCAGATGAAACAAACAGAATGCTATGTATTTATTTATTTTTTTAAAAAAACCTGATTGAGCCTTTCTCCTGCTATTCATGCTTTGCTGCTGTGCCACTGGCTTTTATTCTGCTACATGCTGTTTTGCTTTATTTTGCTGTATAATTGTGCTAGGTTAAATTAATTGTTTTAGACTGCAATCCTAAACATGCACAAAAGCACATGCTGGCATCTCGAGTTAAAAGAATCGGGTCGCAGGGCTTGGGAGGGAAAGACTTCCACTGGAGATATTGGAGAGCCGCTAGCTATTATTGTAACTGGTACTGGGCTGGCTGAACAAGTAGTTTAACCTGGTATAAAGCAAGTCAGGTCAAGCAATCCTATGTTGGATGACGGTGGAAGGAACCATGACTTCCTAAGCCCTGCCAGGCTTGTGCCAGCCAGGGCAGAAGTTGAGGAAAAC